TTTCCCTTTCCCTTTCCCTTCCCTTCCCTTCCCTTCCCTTCCCTTCCCTTCCCTTCCCTTTTATGCTGCTCCAGTCCAGGAGAACTCTGAGCAGCTTACTTTCTCTTTTTACAGCAACAATATTAAAACAATAAAACAAAATAACAAGACTAACAATAGCAAAAATTTCAAAGCAGACTGTGGCCACCGAAGAACAATAAATATCCAGACATAACTGAGGATGGGGCTTCTAACTTATGCCAGATCCATTCTCAAGACTTTCTTTAAAAAGCCAAGTTTTTATGGCTCTCCTAAAATTCAACAGGGCTAGTCTGGTCTCAGGAGGGAATTAGGAGCATTTGTAACATTATATTTGAGCTATATTCATTTTTTAAAATAAAATACCTTAAAATAAGATTTAATTTTAAAAAATGATGTTGATTGTAATTGATCAATATTTAATCTCCAAATTAGTGCTTGTTAGATTAAAGTAGGCTATCAATAATCTTAATTTATCCAACGGGGGGCTTTTCTAGTGGAATCATCCTGCCTCAATTACAGCACTCTAAAAGGAAAAAAAGGAGACGTTGTCAATCATCTGCAATTTGCATGTGTTTTCCCAGTGCTTCTGCTCTTTCTTTCGAAAATTTATTAAGATGAAAAAGATTGGAAAGAAGCACAGTGTCTTTTGATCTGTATCTTTAGTAGTCTTCATTTGGAAGGGCTGTACTGTACTCTTTATGTTAGGAGCTCTGTTATTAGGAAAGTTCATAGCTGTATTTTTCTGGCTCAAAGAACTTAATAAAATCCCCTCTTTGAAAAGTGAAATTGGATTAAAAGAAAAAAAAAGACCTAGTGGCTTCCATTATTGTATTTTCAGCAAATCTTAAGACAACTTTTCCATTTTAAAGGTAAATTATTTGTGAAAGGATCTTGTTTTTCTTTTGGATTCCATTCATAGCTAGTACTTTACAACCTATCAGTTTTTCAAAAATATGTATTTTTAATTGCCTCATATATTTAGTTTTAGAGCATTGCCTCGCTCCTGACTTCCCAGGCATTTTAATACATTTTGTGATGTATTATTTATAGCTGTTGTTATTTGATGTGACATTTTAAAGAAAGGAAAACCACTCCAGCATTTGAAAAAAAAGTTACAGTTTCATATTTTTGAAAAGCGAGATGTTGAAGGCGACCCTTGAAGTGCACTAGGCTTTGGAAAAGATGAAGAAGGCAGGGAGTTAGTAACTCTCTTGCAATATTTTAAATGTTATAGCAACAAAGACAAGAAATCCACTTCTTTCCATATATTTCACAGAATATAACCGGCAAATGAATTTTAGGAAGACCTGAGTGTGATAACAGAAGAAGAATAGGTTTATAGGGGTGTAAAACATGAGAACTCGGTGTTTTATTGTTGCTTGTGATGGGGAGAAATTTTATACTGGCATTTTCCCTTGCTTACTCTATGCTCCAAGCTATGGGAAGGCGACAAACAGGAAGATTTTCTTGGAACCTATTTAACTACCTTTTAGGCACCAGATAAAAATTATTTTATGCTCTCGAGTCTTTAGCTGTTTTTGAGCTTCTGAGTTGAAGTAGTTGCTGTTGGTATGATTGTTGATTCTAACTTATTTTCATGGGTTTTGAGGCATACATTTAAGGGTGGGGAGTAGTTGATTATATTTTGATTTTGCTATAAGCCACTTGGTCACCACGTACATAAGTGGTAAGATATACACTTGTTAAATAGATAGGTAAGTAGATGGACAGTCAGATTATCTTTCAAAACTACCCTGCTTAGCCTTTCCTGTTGGCTTGGCATGGCTTTTATTCTGTGCTATTTTGTTTTAGTTTAGTTTTAAGTCTTATAATTGAACATTTATTTATATACTGCCCAGGAAATTAGCAATATGCTGATGGAGCTTTTCACAGGACTTGGGGGCTGCACTAATAATCATTGGATTGCATTTGGAACTCCAGAGTCCCTCCATGCATGGCAGTGGTGCTGTTCTGGCACTGGCACCATGTCATGATGCCCCCCCCTCAAAAAAATATACCCCCAGCCCAGCCAGTTTTCTTCCAGCTTGGCTAGGGCACAACAAACATCACTCAGCTTTTGATCTGTGCAACCCAGTGCCTTAAACTTGGGGGCAGGCTGTCTTTCTATATGTGGGAACTTTACCTCTTCTTCCTCCTCCTCCTCCTCCTCCTTCTTCCTGAACTCTACTCTAGAACTAGATTTCTCCCGAGCAATCTTATCAGCAGACTGACTTGCTAGTTAGCTTACAGTCAGTTTCACAGGGTTGTAGCACTTGAGAAAAGTGTCTGCCAGCAAGACTACTCTTATCATGGCATTGCCACAGCTTTCAGCTGGAATTCATATGCAGGTAGAATGGTGTTTTGATGGGCGGGCACCTACCATTTGCTCAGATTTAGGGGGAAATAGCTGCTGGGGGAAGGGAGTAGTAATTCAGTTTTTTTCTTCTAGAGAGAATAGTGGGTTTTGTTATTTCAGGAGGACATTAATTAGATCAGGGTTCCCCAAAGGAAACATTATTGACCCTGTAGGGTTGATGGAACTACCCAAGGGGTCAATGTTATTATCATTATTATTCTTCGTAGTACAGTTAGTTAAAGTATTACTTATTAAATTATTTTCATATAATAAATGTTTGGGGGTTGATGAACAATCTGAAACTTCATGAAGGGGTTGATGAGCTGAAGAGTTTTGGGATCCCTGGGCTAGATGATGGTGAAAATGTTGCAATATTCCTATTGATCAGCTGGAGGGGGAACAATGATTGGTTCCTCATTTTTCTCACTTTCTAGCATCAGCATAAGTGAAAATAATCTCTCTGGACACCCAGGAGGCTTCAAATGCCTTGGGGGATTGAAGAATGGAAGTGATGGAAATAATGAGAAGTGGAAGTGCCCTCAGTCAATATCTATGGCAATTGAGCTGAAATGATATTTCCAAATTCTCCATTCAGTGTGTAGGAAAAAGGATTTCACAGAATATTCTCTGGAGGGGAACTCAATTAGCAGTTTTGGGGAAGGGCCAACAAAGAACCTTTCTCAGAAAATTTCTCTTCTGGGAAAATTTGCTTAGAAGAGAACAGTTCTAAGTGAATAGAGTAGAGTCCTTCCAATTAATTTCCACTGCGGTGCTAACTGTTACAATGTTTGACTTAGCTCTGAGTGGCTTCTCAGAAGTTCCTCTGATCCAGCAATTCTTCTAATCAAAGCTCAAGGAATTGCTAAAGAGAAAAATCTGGTTTGACCAAGTTACAACTGGAGATGCTGCTGAGTGTGGATTGATGGCTACCTTTTGTGAATCATCAAAGGCAGGAGAAAGACGCCTCCTATTGTCCTCCATTTCAACTGCCAGCTTGAAAACATGAACAGTTTTGAGGAAAGAGGTCTGCAAAGCATCCACAGTACCTTTTTCTTGCAACTCAGCTGTTTCAGGTTTTCTCCACTATAAAGGGCAGGAGACAGCACCATGGGGGCTCCGCACAGCTCTCTGGGGGATCCCCTCAGACTGCTCAACTAAGCAGGCAGAGAGATTCGGAAACAGGATTGTGAGCAAGAAGGAGTGACCAGGCACTGGAGACAATGGGAAGGGGATGGGGCCTGGCATCAGAGGCTTGTGGACTGGATGGGGAGATCCTCAACTATATTATTTCACAGGCTGCAGGATCATATCATGTATGCTCCTGGGAACATTCAACAAAGAAAAGGCTCTCTTTAAAGAGAAACCAGCGACTCAGTTAAAATTAGCTGCAAATGTTTTCTGCTTTCCTCCCAAGGATGATCATATCAGGGAAATAATCAGTGTCCTTAATATAATTCTCCCCCACCCCCCACAAGTCAGTGGTATTTTTTTCAAGGATGCATATGAATATTCTACCCTACGTGTTAAGTTTAACTTATCTTTTAAAACTTCCCTCCTTATTCCATGCATTTTAGAAATAAGCAAGCTGTTTTTTCTAAGGATCAGTATATCTGGGGTGATGCTCCATATAGCAGTCTAGACCCCAGATCATTTCCCTTCAGAGATGCAGAAGGAGGATGGGTGTTATCTCTCAGTCAGAACGTAGTAGGACGGGTGTCTGTGGGGGGCAGCTTCTCAGGGTTCTTTTGAGCTCAGGAGAGGTGAAAAGCAGCACTTGGAATTTGTCCCCAATACTCTCCACCAGCCAGTGTGGCTTTTTCAAGGGGAACAGCAGCACTGTGTTCTCCACCTCTGTAGCCTGGTCTAGATGTACTTGTTGTGTGGATTGACTACCAAGCTGAGCCTCTTTCTTCCCCTTGTTTTGGATAAGAGCATTGCTTGGTAGTGAACGGGCAGAGTTTGGTGAGAGGATGTTAATGCCCTAATTGTTTTCCACAGTTGAAGAGACAAATAACTTTGCTGCAGAGGGTTGGTTCATCGGCTTCATCAGCGCCATTGTCCTCCTCATCCTGGTTCTGGTGCTCCTCTGCTTCATCAAGCGCAGCAAGGGCGGCAAGTACTCGGGTGAGGTGCCCCCAGCCCCACCCTAGCACCTCGCAGCAGACCCCCATGGGCCTCCCCCCAGGCTATTATCAGTTGTCAGTTATATAGCACACTTAGTGTGCCTGGTGCCGTTCGTCCTCACAACAGTCCTGTGAGGTAGGTTGTTATCGTTCCCATTTTACAGAAAAGAAGCTGAGCCCCAAAAATGGGGTAGTTTACAACTGAGCTCAAAGTTTGACCCTTGTGCCCTGAGCTCACAACCAACACAAGCTGCTGGGCTGGGCTAGATAAGTTTAAGCCAGACTTCCTGAGCTGGGGTCTTCTAGATCTATTGGACTACAACATACATAACTGCCAGCCAGCATGACCAGGGTGGCAGGGGATTATGAGTTTTCAGTCCAGAAATCAAGAGAGCGCATCAGGCTCAGGAAAGTGAGCTATGTAGTGGGGAAATATTGCAGATATTGTAGATATATCTGTATTATCTGCTTAATCTGGTTTAGTGATGACTTGTGATGGAATGGAACTATGAAGGCCAGGCTCAGGGAGATAAGCGTGTTCTTAGTTCACTGGAGGAGTGTGGGAAGTTCAAGAGGATGAGGCTGGCACCTCCCTGAAGAATTCACAGTGTTGTGGCTGGCTGGCTTGGGAGCTAGGA